TGCCCGATTAAGAAAAACTTTTGCACAGCTTACTGATTTAGGTTCAGATAGATGTATGCGAAGTTTTGTTGCAGTCGTATATAGCTCCCATATATCGTTTCGTCCGATTTTATGCAAATGGTCCACCAAACTTCCAATATTTGTCCGATTGAGACCAAATTTTGCACAGAGTACACTATTAGGTCTAGATTGCTGTATGCCAAGTTCTGTTGAAATCGGTTCAGATTTAGATATAGCTCCCATGTATATTTTCGTCCGATTTTATGTAAATGGAGAACCATACTGCCAATATTTGCCCGATTAAGACAAACTTTTGCACAGCTTACTGAATTAGGTTCAGATTGATGTATGCGAAGTTTTGTTGGAATCGACTCAGATTTAGATATAGTTCCCATAAATAATTTCGTCCAATTTTATGTAAATGGGAATGGAAATGTAGGCCAATTGGCACAAAATTTTGCACAGCTTACTGAATTAGGTCCAGATAAGATTTGTTGAAATCGGTTCAGATTTAGATATAGCTCCCATAAAAATGTTTGTTCAATTTTATGTAAATGGTGCTCCATACTGTCAATATTTACCGATTGATACAAAATTTTGCATATTAATGTTACTACAGGTTGATATCCGTGAAGTTTTGTTTAAAAAGTTCAGATTTAGATATAGCTCCCATATACATTTTCGTCCAATTTTATGTAAATTGCGCACGGAGGAGTCTATTTATACCCTACACAACTATGTTGTCAGGGTATTATAGCTTTGTGCAGCCCCAAAAGTTTGTAACGCCGCGAAATATTGGTCCTAGACCCACCTTCAAGTATACCGATCGTCATATCTCGACTAGCTGAGTCGATCTAGACATGTGTGTCCGTCCGTCTGTCCATTATAATTTGTAAACACGATACAGGCCACAGTTATGGACCAATCTTCACGAAATTTTGCATGTAGGATGGGTTCTGGCCAATGAATACCCCTATTGTTTTTGGGAAAGATCGGTTAATATTTAGGGGATGAAATGGACCAAATACTAAATTTTTGTCGATTTTTCTGGTCGCTCCAGAGGCCGCAATAATGGCCCGAACATCGTGAAATTTTGCATGGAGAAGGGGATCGTGCCAAGAATTTGATAAATATCGGTCGATATTTAGCGGGTCAAATGGACCCTATCTTTTGTGTGAAAAATGACAAAATTTGTATTCTTTTGCGTATATATTTACCCCTGAAGGACATAGACCTGAGAAGTCGATATTATATCCAAGAGGAGTGGTTGACCTTTAAATTAATACTAATTATGTTGTTGTATGTGCTCGGATGTGGGAGTTACACCTAAATAATTTCAGGTATCTCCGTATTTGTATATTATTTAGTAACCCATTATCACTCTAGAGAACGGAACTATATCGCAGATCGCTTTGAAATGTTCCATGAGGTTCCAGTTATGTTCAAGGACAACGCCTATAATTTTCGGTGATGATCAGCTAATAGTTTTGGAATGAAGTGGGCCGAAAACTAAATTTTTTGTGTTATTTTCGAGTCGAACTATAGACCACAAATGAAAGCCGAACATCACAACACAATATTCGGAAAATATGTCAGTGTGAGTCTAGAATACTTTTTGTTAAGATTGAAATCGGTCTTGATTTAAATACGGCTCACATATATACTTTAGTCCTATTTTATGTAAATAATGCACCATGTTATATTTTCACGATATTTTGTTGTTGAAATTAATTCAGATGCGCATATATCTCTCTCACATATTTTTCCGATTTTATGTAAATGGTTTAAATGGAGGACTCTATGTCTGTTCGCTTTACATGAAATATTGCATAGCGTATTTGATTGAAGATTCAGGTTTAGATATAGATTCCATACATATTTTCATCCGATTTCATCTAAATGATATACTAAATAACTGAAGTTTGTCCGCTTAGGACGAATTAGTGCACAACGTTCAAAATGGAACCTAGAATAACGTGTATTGGATTTTGTGTCGAGATAAATTTTGGATAACGCAATGTGTTGCAGCATACCAAATGATGGATGCCACGGTTGCTCAAATACGTCCATTTATATATAGCTCTCATACATATTTTTCTCGATTTCATACAATTAAGCGACATTCAGTTTTTCATAAATTTCTGAATGGTTTGTGTATGGGGTGTTTTAATTTAGTTCAAATATGTATGTACTTCACACAGTTTATTTCGTCCGATTCCATTTTAATGGTCTCCAAAGATGCTTTGTCTATTCTATCTAAAGGATATTGTATATATAAGCATCTCTTGTACGTACCCAAAGTGGTGAAGGGTATCACGTAGTTGGCCCCGTCCGACTTTTGAACTTTCCTTACTGGTTTCAAATGCAAAAATGTGTAAACAGTATTAAAATACGAATCCCAAAAAGGGCAACCGTCAATTACTGCTGCATACCAGGAATGTACATTAAGCGACATAGCGACTCGTTCCGATAAGGCAGTCCAGCAACTAAGGGGTTTTCTCTATTTTTCACAACGGATTCTCGGTTCAATGTAAATAAAAACTCTTAAACTCCAGATTCAAACGATAGAAACTGTTACGACTAATAACATTCTTATCTTCAAAAAAGAGGAACAAACACATCCGGGTGTCTAAATGTCAAGTATAGTTACTGTCCATCGAGGCAATATATTCACCCATATTTTAGATATTTTAGGAATTGGGAAATATGAATTTTATTGTAATATTATTTTTAATTCACATACCATTCCTTTTGCAAGGTGGAATATAATTTTTCCAAAATATTTATAATAGAAATCACCACAAATACGGGGTATCCGTTTCCGTTGTAAAAACGGAACTTTAAAAACTTCAGCCGAAAGAGAGATGTACCCAATTTATCTCAAAAATAGTGTGAGCTGGGTCATCCGTGGTTCTTAATGGACCGCATTGAAATAGGTATAGATTGAAGCATTTTTTAGGGTGCACACCGAAATCGGATGCGCGTTATAGGCATATAGAGTTTTCGGAAATTCTTCGCGTTTTCCGATTTTTTGGGTACTTCAATGCAACGTGTGGTGGTACATCTTAGCCGTCAAATGGAATTTCGCAAAATAAATGGATTTGAAGATAACCTTTAGTATTTAGAAAACCGGATGCGTATCAAATAATTATGAGTATGACGCGATTTAGACGCAGTTTAAAATGTATATTTCAAAATATAGTTTTATTTTAAGAATTATTTTTATTCGTAGAACCCCAAGATTTGTCGGAAGAGTTTTGATATAATCCGCAAATTGTATACTTATACACAAGAAGTGATTATTTTTATATACATATGTCAATTTGTCGGCAACATTCGAGTAAAAAAGAACAATAACCCCAGTAATATATTCATATTTTACGAAGGAGTCATATATCAACGTTTTTGGTCAAACAATAAACGGCGTAATTTTAAAACCTCGATAACTTTTGCGTGCATCAACCAAAAATTTGATCGCGAACGGATTTGGAGTTAGGACATTTTTCTCTATATATGTATCAAAAATGATTGATGTACTACGAAAACAAAAAGCCGATTTTTTGAAAATGGAATATTAAAAACTTGGCAATATTGCCCATAAATTTTATGTTTGCAACAGCGGATTTTTTCATTTTGTACTACCAACATTTTGTACTACCAATTGTATATTATTTCTGCGCAGATAAACAGGAGAATCATATATATATATGTATATATATATATATATATATATATCGTCAGCTAAAATGCAAAAAGGTGAGCTTAAATGTGCGATCAACATAGATATTTGAACCAATTAAAAAACACATACCATTCTGAAATCTATGAAAGTTTTCATATCAACCGGATTCTTTTGTGTACCATTTGTATGAAATCAACGTAGGTTCATCGGTGCACAAATCAGGCGATAATATATATAGGAGATATATCTAAATCTAAACCGATTTTTGCAACTTTAATACACATCACTCTAACTCACCTCTGCCAAATTTCGTGTAAATCGGTGCACCATTTACATAAACTAGGACGAACATGTATATGGGAGTAGATATAGCTGATACAAAACTTCGCATACGCCTACCTTGACCTAAATTCGTACACTCCGCAAAATTTTGTCTCAATCGGACAAATATTGAGAGTTTGGAGCACCATTTAAGTCTGTACCCTGTGCAAAATTTTGTTTAAATTGGTCAAATATTGGGAGTTTCGTGCATTATTAACATAAAATCGGACGAAACTATATATGGGAGCTATATCTAAATCTGAACCGATTTTTATCGTGTATACGACATATTTCAATACGCTGTGCAAAATTTTGTATCAATCAGACAATCCTTGGGAGTTTTGTGCAGCATTTAGATAAAATATATATATGGGAGCTATATCTATATGGGAGCTATATCTATATGGGAGCTATATCTAAATCTAAACCGATTCCCACAATACTTCGTACACATCAATATGGACCTATTTCAATACGTTGTGCAAAATTTTGCATCGATCGGACAATCCTTGGGGTTTGGTGCACCATTTACCAAAAAATAAGACGAAACTATATATGGGAGCTACATCTAAATCTGAACCGACTTTCAGAAAACTTCGTACACATCAATTAATATGGATCTAATTCATTAAACTGTACAAAATGTTGTTTCAATCGGACGAATATTGGGTGTTTTCAAAATAAATATAATGATTCACATTCGCAGGCTAGACATATATAGTAGGCGTCATAGCACAAGCAATAGCTATTAAATTTGTAATATGTTAAAGACTAGTGTGAACTGGTAGAGACATCTGTATAAGGGACCAAGAACATTTCCATAAAAGATAAGCATGAACGCCATCTACTACGTTGTAGATGTTATCTACTATACAAGATCTACTCGTAAAAGATCTACTGGTTAAAGTTCAGCGGATTTATTAAACTCTACCCGTTCCTGTTTCCTCCAAAAATTTACATTAACTTCAATTCATAATTCACTCACTCACACACTTACCTGGATGAACAACGATAAAACTTCTGTATAACATAATAGGCCAGACACACTGGCACAGTGACCACTATAAACCAGGGAGTGATGATAATATTGATTAGAATGGCACACACGCATAACAAAGTGAACTGCAGTAAACGTTGGCTAGTGGCGGCGATTTTCTAAAAAAAACAAAAATCAAAAAAAGAAACAACATTAAATCGAAATGTTCGGAAATTCAATGAAAATGCACAAATCATGGACGCAAAATTTACACACACACACCCCGAATACCTTCCAGCCCCATTCTTACCTTATCAATGATAGCCATATCGTTACTGAAGCGATTCATGATACGACCCAATGGTGTGACCTGAAAGAAATGCAACGATTTGTGCATAATTGACTGCAGAAGTTTTTCATGTAAATTGCGACGGGCCTTACAGCCGGCCCATTGACCGGCCGGTGTCGATATCATGGCCATGACTATGCATACGCAGGAAATTATGGCATAAATGTGGAAATAATACGTGACTTCGTGATGCGTACTGCTGTTGGTCGGAGATGAAGGGCCAGCGAACAGATTTTCCATATCATCAGCAATGGCAGTAGTGGTGGCACGGCCGGTTGTTGCGTAATTGTGGACACCCATTTGTTGCATTGCGGATATATTTACGGATGTTATCGCTTTATGTTGCTGCACCAGCAATGCACCATTACTACTACCACCACCGCTACCTCCAGTTGCCACTACCGCTGCCGTTGGCTTATTGTCATCGGTCCATTGTTGTAACCAAACATCCGTGTACACGCGCAAAGTTTGCCAAATTAGGGCCGTGATGAAAAATATTAAAACAATTGCGAAACCAGATGCACGCACATACAGCAAATAGATTTCCGCCGGTATTTTACCATATTTTCGTTCGACATCGTAATTTGTTGTTGTCGTCGTTGGTTTCTTGTTGTTTGCCTGCCTGGCCGAGTATAATTCGTTGGAATTGGGCATTTCAGTTGATGTTGTTTTTGTTGGTGGTGTTGCTGCATCATCTCGCAAAGTGGTAACATTGGTGGCCAACATGTTGGTGGTGGCTGCGTTATTGTTGTTGATATTGCTTGTAGTTGTAACTCCGGTATTGTCGGCATGTTTTTCCATGTGATTCGCATTGTTTGCCAACAAAGCTTTATAGTCAATATTGACATCTGTAAAAGGAGGAAAACGGGACAAGAAAATCGTAATTTTATTTTTTCTTCTCTCTTTCAACAAAAATAATGTCTTTAAATAGAATGAAAATACTATCGGAAATAAAATTACAATTTTTAAATTCCAGATATTAGTATCAAGTGTTTTGATGCCGTTCCCATGTTAGACCAGGATATGATTTTATTTGCTAACAGAAGTTTAAACCAGTAAAGTAGTAAAGTCGGACTGGGCCGACTATATGCTTCCCTTCACCACTTTGAAAGAATATTGGCATTAAATTGAACGAAGTTAAATATGAGACCTACACATGCCATTCTGCAAGCTATGCTAAATTTTGTATATCGATTTGAAGCAAACTTTACACACGTTATTTGGTATGCTGCACGGTTTAAAATTTAATTTCAATCAGACATCTACTTGGTGTACAGTTAACATGAATAGATCGAAATTATTTAATTCAGTACTCTATGCCAAATTTCGTGCAATCGGTCTATCTCGATTCCTTTTGGCTGTTACAAACATATGCACAAAGACAAATTACCCTGTACCACAGTGCGGTGAAGGGTAGAAAAATGTGTTTTCAATGCCAAAACATTTGGATGGAAATTAGATTCTTGCGATTCAGAAAGAATTCGGAAAACTGGAAATCACATTCGCTTAGCTCGGTCTCGGTCACATATACCACATGTTTCTTCTACTTGTCAGCTAGAAACATTATTGCCTAAAATAATGTTCCTATATCTTCAACATTAATTTACTCGAGGTCACTGTAGAAAAATATACAAGCAGCCGCAGCTCGCTTTTATAACAAATGATAAGACACGGACAGCCGACCGTTCTTGTTGAGTGGTTGTAAGTCACTAATTTTATTTTAAAATATTTATCCTTAGGTTCTACTTAAACAACTCTTTCTTAGCATAATCTCAAACACAAAATACTTTTCAGTAAACTATTTGTTTTAATAATAGAATTTGATCTGTGGAGAGTTTTCCCATCGTGTGCGTCATAAAATCTCACCACCAACAACAACAGTCTTATCAACGTTGCGTGTGGGATTTTAGACTCTTATCTTAAAACAATCCAACTATCAAATCTTCTGTACTACAAAATTCTGTTCAAAGTATTTTGAACATGCTGACGACTCGCAAGAAGAGCTGACAAATTAAATTTCTGTTCAAAGCATTTTGAACATGCTGACCACTCACAAAGGGATGACAAAAACAATATTTATTTTATTTTCAAATAGATTGATCCCTTGTGGTGTTTTCTTAAATCTACTCATACATTCTTATATAAATCTAAAGCAATGTGAGCAGAATTATTCTATCATAATACATATTACTTATTAACAATAATGATCTACTATATACTATAATTAAGGAAATAATAAATAAGATCAGCCTCTAGGTAACAGCACCCACGATTCGTCGCAGCCAATTTTTTATACAGCCTCCATTAGAATTTCCTCCACCTTCATCTATTGCTTTCATTATCCAGCTATTGTTTTTGTTAGAACTTTTCTCTTTCCAATCTTCGTTAACCGGAGGTATTTTCCCGCGACGATGTAAACGTTCGACTGGCTTGAGGCTTTCTTCTTCGTTTTCCATTTTGACTACAGTTTTTGCTGTTTTCTTATGCGCCTTCACCATTCTAAAACTGGAGAAGTGATTAAATTTAACACAATTCAAATTACCTTCGGGGATTAGTGAACTTCAGTCCTTTTCAACCTCAAACATCACTTCTTTCTTGGATTTTACATTCATGTAGACAACATCACTATTTTCTTCTACATTGCTTTCTTCAGGAATTTCTTCGTCTATGGAGTAAACATCACAATACTCCTCCTCAGTCTGTAAATCGACTTCTTGTTCCTGTTTTTCAAGATCGGTGCCGTCATCTTCCTTTTTCTTCAGCTGGCACATAGATCCAGCCTCGCTAAACTGCAAGGTTTCTATTTGTTTCTGCTGCACTAGTGGACTGTCACCATCATTGCCTCTTGCGAATAAATTCCCTCCATAGTGAGGGCTTGCCGGGGGCACCAAAATATCATTGGAGGATTCCAGCTTATTACACAGCTCCTCCTTTACATCAAAGTATATGTCCTCCATACGCTTCAATTTGTAGAACATATCTTCAGAAAACTCCACATTTGAATTTTTTGGAATCAACTTTTTGATTTCCATATATATTGCCTTCAAATATTCCATTTCCGATAGGGTTTTTTCCTTGGACATTGTAGGCAATTCCATTTTCACTTCATCGCATCGCTCAATTACATAATCAGCTTCATTATATATTTCCTCTAATGCGAAATCATAAATATTCATGTTCTTGGCGTAGATATGACAATAGAACTCCGGATAATTCCGCTTGATTCCATTCACTTTTTTACCATGCTTTCACAAATTTGGGTCACCTGCTTCAGATCAGCATTTACTCCTTCATCATTGATTTCGAATGCAAGTTGCTTCAGTTCAGCCAACATGTCTTTAATAATCTTCACCCATTCCTTTAGTAGACCTTCTGGCCGGAAGGGTATTCTTTTCGTTAAATATGCACTTATGACGTTTAACTCCTGTGCATCTCGATTAAACCGCCTGTACATTCTCGTTCTATCCTTCTCATCAAGTCTTTTTTCCCAAGACTCTATGCAGAAGTCTAACTCCATCTCCATTTTATTTTATAAAAAACTGTTTACCTCGTAGAACAGAAAATTTAGCAATTCTTGAGCTCCTTACTCAAAATTGCTTTTATATTTTTTTTTTCACCTTTGCTGGTTCTACTGAGTCTCTTACCACGGGTGGGGGAAAACTCATTTTTTCGAAGGACCAAAAAAGTGATAAAAATATACAGACAGCCGCAGCTCGCCTGTATAATAAATTAAGACACGACACGGTGCTCCCGACCGTACTATGTGAGTGGTTGTAAGGCACTAATTTTATTTTAAAATATTTATCCTTAGGTTCTACTTAAACAACTCTTTCTTAGCCTAATCTCAAACACAAAATACTTATCAGCAAACTATTTGTTTTAATAATAGAATTTGATCTGTGGAGAGTTTTCCCATCGTGTGCGTCATAAAATCTCACCACCAACAACAACAGTCTTATCAACGTTGCGTGTGGGATTTTAGACTCTTATCTTAAAACAATCCAACTATCAAATCTTCTGTACTACAAAATTCTGTTCAAAGTATTTTGAACATGCTGACGACTCGCAAGAAGAGCTGACAAATTAAATTTCTGTTCAAAGCATTTTGAACAGTCACAAACACCAAATCTGACCAAGTATTGTAAATTTAACTAAATGTTTAATCTGTGATTCCATTGTGAGGATTTCAATTTCAGTCATCTGATAAAAAATACCACTTACGCGGGCTATTACATCAATTTCTGGTCTGATAATAAAAATCCAAATAATATCCTCACTAGTCCTCACAGTCGTAAACCTTCAATAAACGTATATTTACGCAACGAGATATTAAAATGTATATTTAAGGATCCATACAAAGCCTATATTTTAAAAATATTTCTAAGTAACACAAGGCGTAGACTTCTTAGAAAAATATTTTAATGGGGATTAAAAACGTAATGTTTTCATAATACACACAAGTTTTGGAACCTAAGTCTCCAACACAACACAAATGTTACCAGACCACATGGCGTTCTCAGCCATAAACACACTTCCAAAAGGTGGCGTAAGAAACATGTGTATTAATTATCCATCGCTACAACAAACATCTGATTTGAAAAGGACTGTTTCTAGAGTGAAGACAAATGTCGAAACTTAACAAATTTGAATTTAATTCGCAGATGCAAATTCGCATCAACTGCGACATAAATTCAAGTTATCAACATACGACCTTTGTAAAGCCACTTAGCCCAATAAGCCTGTTGAGCCGCTTAAAAAACTTCGAAACGCCTGGGTGCATATGTTCTTCTTCTGGCTATTTTTTATGGGACCACTACATACAAGGCGTATATTTACAACAAAATAGTTTTAAGGAATCATACAAAACGTATACGTGGATTGGCAAAAATGTTTTAAGGAGACATACAAGGCGTATATTTACAAAGCAATATTCTTTAAGAAGACATACTAGACCATTTTTGAAAATAGTATTTAAGGATCCACACAAGTCGTGGATATTTAAAACATTTTTTTAGACGCAAATCGCTAATTTTTAAAATAGATCCCACAAAACCGGGACAGTTAAAACAATACAATGGAGGGTATATTAGTTTTGTTTTTCCGTTCTCATCTAACTCATCGAAATAATCATTTCCGTATATAAGGGTGTAGTCTCCATATAACCCCTCTTTATATCTTTCACCACACTTGGATGAAATTTGGCATAGGTCACTTATTTGGCTCAAAGACGAATCCTATTGAAATGGGGAAAATCGATTTAGATTTAGAAGTCCCTATATATCTTTAGATTTGCACGAAATTTGGCACAGCGTAATGAATTAGCTCAGGAATGATGTGCGTTAAGTTTCCTGAAAATCGGTTCAGATTTAGATATAGCTCCCACATATATTTTCGTACAAGTTAAGATAAATGCTGCACCAAAATCCCTATATATCTTACGATTTGCACGAAATTTGGCATAGCGTACTGAATAAAGTTTCGTGAAATCGGTTCTGATTTAGTTATAGCTCTCATATATATTTTCGTCCGATTTAATGTAAATCGTGTACCAAAGACCCTATATATCTTTCGATTTTCACGAAATTTGGCACAGCGTAATTAATTGGGTCAAGATTGATGTGTGTAAAGTTTCCTGAAAATCGGTTCAGATTTATATATAGTTCCCATATATATTTTCGTCAAAGTCCCAAGGGGCCTATATTTCATTTACAATATATTTGGCATAGCGTACTGAATTGAGTTTAGAATAATGTGCGCTAAATTTCGTAAGAATCGATTCAGATTTAAATAGAGTTCCCATATATATTTTTGTCCGATTTTATGTAAATGGTGTACAAAACTCTTAATGTTTGTCCGATTGATACAAAATTTTGCACAACGTATCAAATTGAGAATATAATGACGTTGTTGAGTTTTGTTTGAAATTGGCGAAGATGCATACATAGGTTCCATACTGATTTACTGGCGTTTGTTTTTATTAAATTTTACATGCAATTTTCAACAAATCTTAAGTTTATGAACGGTTGCAAAATTAAGGGAGACACAAGTGACGTTTTTTTATCAAGATAGGACAACTCCAAGGTAGTATTCTTTATTAGCCGTATGACACCGATTTAGAAAATATTAAAAATGTATTAAAAGTATTTACAAACATTGACCTAAATTGTAAATTTTCTGGGGAGAAGTATTTTCTTTACCAATTCTAAAACTCTCTTAATACCGAAGATTTGGCGAGACCTTTATGAAAACCCTAAATATGAAATTACAACCACATTAATTAAAAGATGAGATTAAAACTTTAAAAATACCAAAAGTGGGAAGGGACCTTTATATAGTGACAAGGTCAGAACCACGTCCAATACTCAAATATAGTTCCTGAATACCCATTTTTTTGAGAAATAGACGATATCTGACATTTTCGTTTTATAGTAAAAAATAACAATGAACTATACCTGAAATTATCCATTATGTGTAATGCACTATAAACGGCTTACACTTTAATTCAATCCATAACAAACCCCCTTCAACGCCACTATGCGAAAACAACGTTCCCAAAACGCTGTCAATATTGTGTAGGCCTCTGGGTGACTATCAATATTTATTTGTTATTTCCTGTTCGATTTCAATTATTCAACAACGTTCGCCATTCGATTCAATTTACTCCAATTCAATTAAAAATTCGGATTGGAATCAATTCAATTTTGGATGTGAAAACTGTAGATATAAATATTTTTGCCTCAATACCTGCCAAGGGATATTATCGAACATCAGTTATCATTAGTGCTTAATAAACACCTTTTGTTCGTACAATTGATAATAATCAATGAAAAAGTTTTTAGTTTAGGACACACAGGAACAAAAAAACGAATGACGCAACTTCATAGCCATGGCATAGCATGCGGCAGCAGCAGACAGGCATACAGTGAGACAGTTTGCTATCCAGCCAGTCAGCCAGCAAGCCACAGGCAACTGACAACACACACGACTGCACTCATCCACACTCACACTAACAAACAGGATGTTGAGTGTAATGATAGCTGTGCTGCGATGACTGTGGATTATGACTTTTCCCACAGTGCATTCTACGTATCTATTGAGTCTAGGCATCCTGGATACTTCTAGACAAGTGTGAGTTCACACATATGTATGTTAGTGTGTGTGATGCTACATACATTCATACATACATACCTTGAATGGATTCCTCATTTTCAATACCGGCAATCCAACTTTCCGTCTCAGTTTCAGTTGCATCCGTTAGCACTGAGCTCAATTCAATGGATGGCACTGATGAACCAGCTATGCCAGACGATTCCTCCGAGATGCTCCTGTAGGTGGCCAAGAAGAATCGAGGAATAAATGGATGGATGAATGAATGAAAGAAAATGAATTGTTATTGGTATTTTTATAGAAGAGTAAACTATAAATTGCAATTGTATATCATTTCATATATAGGGAGGAAGATGAATGGAGAGATAAAGTACCGACATAGCCGGATGGCAATGACGTTGCTGATGATGATGATGATTTTCAAGTGATGGAATTAAAAGTAAATTTCATTACATTGTTGGCATAACACACAAAAGCAATATGGATTTCATTGAATGCTCTGGAAAATAAAGACACAAAATAAGGAAACAAAAACAAAAACACTTACACAATAGCTGTATCTCCACTACCAGGCCTGGGCCTGTGATGATGTGATGCCGGGGCAACCGTTTTCGATTTATTCGATCTACGCATAGTCATACGTCTAAGGAATTGTTGAAAACCATTACCCGTTTCCAAAGGAGATTCAGCCGCATCGATTTCATCTTTACCTTCACCATTTTCTACAAATGCTGGTGGTGCTGAAACATTCTTGGTCAATGGTTGATGTTTGCTCATCGGTGCCACGGGTTGCCATGATTGGGTACGTGATGGTGCCTCTTCACTACTACTTAAATTTGTCATATAACTTACAGCACTGCCAACACTATCGGTAAGTAAACTTCTGCGTAATTCGGTTGGGGTGTTACTGATATTACTGAGGCGACTTGAGGTTCGAGAACTGGGTCTATGACCACTGCGAAAGGTATCACTACCAGTACGTCGACGACGTCGCAACGGTACTCCTTCAAGTTGACATTCATCCAGAGGCAGTGGGACGTCATAGATTAAATGTCGAGAACTGTAGAAACCAGATGGTGTGCGGGATAGCTTAAAGCCGGAATTGCAAGCCATTGAAGAGGTCTGAAATAAAAAAAATAATAAAATTTTAAATACATAGAAGCTCAAAGCTCTCTCCGTACTCTCAATAAAATCTTAAAATATTCTTTAAACTTATACATTCCAAATTTACAAATTTGAATCCTTTATACGTGAGAGGTAAGCGAAGGGTGGTCGATATATTATAGATGATATAAGGTTGAAAAAATTTTACGTTATTATATCAGACACTAAGTGTTGCCTTCATTATGTGTTGTCTGGTACTGTATTGGCTGCATCTATAAAGAATTTGGAGACAGGCTTATATGGGTATTTAAATAAATGCAACGTGCCGTGTAATTCTAGTCCACATCCAGGGCATGTGCCGTCATTTCGTACCCAGTAGGAATTAAGGCGGCTGCACCATACTTACTTTAACTTTGCTGTGACTACTTCTGGCTGTCTAGGCAACTAGGAGACCAAGCATATCATCTACTGCTATAGATTGTGGTTGGTCTCCGAATACAGCATTCTAGGCAGCTTCGTATTATCTGCTGCTATGGATGATGGTGAACGGTCTCCGTGTATTAGATTCATGCAGCATTGTTCTATTGCCTGGGAGACTGTATCTGGACGAATTTTGTCAAGACCTCAAGTGATGTAGGTCAGCGGTTTGAGAACCTTGTTCCTACCTCTCAGCTTATCGTTAATTGCAGTGACTTCTTCGGATGAATTTTATAGGCTGTCAAATGTTGCACACAATATCTTTGAGTAGTTGGTGGGCGGAATATAGTTGTTGGAGACAGAAGTGAACTGAGCCATTACGTTTTACCTCGGCTAGCATCCTCCCAAGTCCTCCGTTGCGGAACCACATTGTCTATTTCTCAGGCTTCAGGAACTATGGCAAAGTTTAAGTTCTCAACTCCAGGTGCATCCAATTGCTTAAGCATTACCATGAAAATGACATCAGAGACTAAGGGGTTGGATGACAGCGTTATCGATGACACCTGCATTATTTTGTAAATTGTGGTGTTACCTTTTGGTCTACGAGGTTTCTTATGTAACGTAGAACACTCCTCTTCGCTTTGTCATTCTCAGAGGTATCTTAACATGCCTCACGATTTACTTGTTCCGTTCACAATGTTCAATTGTTTTATTTGGTCTATCCACTTTTTTCCTTTTATACTCGCATATGGGTCTGTTGACTTCAAGAGTAAGTTCTCCCACACTTTGTTCTTCAGGTGTCGTACGACGAAACTAGCCACGTTCGTTCGCCAATACCATCGTATAGGCTGGAAAAATTGGTCTTATTTCGGATACAATGCTCTGCTCCCGCAAGCAAGTGATGATTTTCCGGAAATTCCTCTCCGATACCCCAGAATTTAAAGGTATGATCAATGCGAAGACAATGATAGGGAGGTGGTCTGATCCGAGGGAAATTATAGGTTGCCAGGTTACATTACAGATATTATGAAGTCCCGTGATCTATAAACGCAGACGATGATTGGTAGGTGGTCTGATCCGAAGGAAATGACGGATATCCAGGTTATGCATTTATTAGACCTGATCTCTGGCGAGCTTAGGCAATTTCTCTTTATCCTTGTGAAGACATACTCATTGTGCATGCTTTGTCAGGCGATTCTGGTACGCTCCATCCGCACAAGAAATTGTCACAGGCGACAAATTAAAAATCTATGCATATAATCGACCATGTGTGGGTTTTCGAAGGCAAAAAAAAGGCATCGAAATCGTTTTGAAGCAAACGGCAAAACTGGTCATGTGACGACTGTTCCATCAACTCGTAGCAGTGTCAACACTAAGTGGTTAAACCACATGATTTTCGGAATCCAAAAATTTCAACAGTGTTGGAATGAGTATATGTCGGGCTATCGTATAAATTATTGATTTCGTTCAAAAATTAAGAAAATGGCGGCCCTTTAAAAAAATAATTTTGAAATATAGCCTATTTTTGACTAAATTAATATATATTCACCGATTGGATTTATCCTATATATCTATTATACGATAGCTATACACTCACAGAGAACATCCTAAAATTAGGAATCAATTGATTATTAGTTTTTGAGTTATCGTGCCCGCCATTCGCAAAAACGCTCTTTGGAGAATAATGCGTTTAAAGTTTGAGTAGCCCTTTTGCCGTCACTTAATGCTAACACTACAAATCGGCTATATCTTCATTTTTTTTTTTTTTTTTTGAGATTTTCACTTGAAATTTAAAAAGACATTCTTGAATTAGTGTAGGTTCGAATTAAATCAAAATAAAATATTGATTTTCTTGAAACCGAGAATTGGGGGGACCCCTTAAACCAATTTCAAAATAACTACTCATTTGTACAAAAATCGAGGACGAAACATATAGTGTCCAAAGAAATCAGTTGACAAAAACACTGTTGACCTTGTCATCTAATATAAGAGATGTAGAGGTCGATTCGAATGCAGAAAGTCGAATACCGTTAGTATGTTAATATCCAATATTCACAATTCTCATTTGAACAATTCTCATACTTTCATAATTCAGAATATTCGAGTAAACAATCTACAACATTTCATTTGCCTCTGGCCATTAACAATTCCATTCAAATATTTACCAATTTTAATATCTATTACGAAAAAGTTTAAACATAAAAATAATTTTGTAATTTTTCAATTTAAATTCTCCTTTTTCATTTAACCAGTATCTAAAATAAATAATAAATAATTTACACTTACCGCTGGCATGATTGTGTACTCGTCATCTTCGTTGTCAGCGGCCAATATATTTTCGGCAGAAGTTGCTTTCATTTCCGTTGCCATATCAATGGCATCATTGCCACCTCCTCCATTGCTCTCCGTTGTAGATCCGGTGGATTGTTGTGTTGTACAGGAGGTGGAACGCAATAAACCCAATTTCGAAACATTTTTAAATAATTTCCAACGTTCACGGGCTGTGCGGCCTAAAGCGGTGTTTTCGTTGGGGCTGTGCAACAACAACGATAAGAACAAAAACAAAAAACAAGAAAAACATCAAAAAACCAATTGAAAAGGATATGAATTCAAGAATAAAGATATCAGTTAAAACAACGTCTGTTACATTGTCATCCGCCAAATGGGAGTTTGTTTCGTTCGTCCCACGTTGAAAAGTTAATGGGGTTCGACGGAACAACAGCGAATGAATTGCCGTTTGTTTTGTGGTGGGGATGATGACGGCGGTGGCGATGATGCTATTGAACAACAATTCAATGAAAAACACCATCAAAAATTGTATTTCCCCATTTTTTTTAAGTTCAGGACGGAAGTCCTTTAGGGTTAAGAGTAAAAAAACGCCTATTACAATTTGTACCAGCAATTCTTCTCCACTTTTAAGTTAGTTACGAGTATTTAAACTGTGTGAAAGAGGCTGTCAAGTAAAACACTTGCCCCTACCATTTTCTTGTACATGTTGTTGTAAATATCCTGAGGTTGTTGAAAATGTTTGCCTTATGTGTGGTTTCAAATTCCCGGAATTATTTTATAAATGTCAGCTAAGTAAGAGCGGGCAATTCTCATTGGAAGGGATTTCAATTAAGTTTTTACGTGAGTAATTGACCACGGTGTGATTTTGATGATTGAAGCCGCCAAAAAAAATTACCTAATAAAATGTGTTAATGGCTGGGGAAATAAGTACAGTACTATAAATTGGAACGTCCTACGTTATTAATTGAGGAAACATTAAGTAAATTTCTAAAAACAAATTACAGAATTTCCTGAATGAGATTACTTTCATAAACGACATGTCCGCAATGAACTTTTTTAGATAATTTTTAAATCCACGCTTACATGTCATTCTGCTTCCTATGCTAAATTTTGTAAATCGATTTAAACAAACTTGAGACACACTAATTGATATGCTGCACTGTTTCAAATTTAATCTCAATCAATTAGCATGAATAGGTCGATATTACATATATATTTGAACCGATTTCAAGGAAACTTGCCAGAGATAAATTTATATTAACTTCATTACGAAGTATGAATCGGCCTAGCTATGGATCAACACACTCTAGACTTGATTTAGTACGCTATGCTAAATTTCGTGAAAATCTAAAGATTTTCGTCTGAAATCGGACGAAAATATATATGGAAACTATATCTTAATCCATAAGGTATAAAGCGTGCATCAGCAGTAGTAAATTTCTCTCAGATACCCGAGGATTTGAAGGTATGGGTAGTCTCGTTCAGCTTTCTCATGGTTCAGGCGTTCAGATATTATGAATTTGAGTAGTATATGGAGAATTGACAAGTTGCCAGATTGCATTATTTATCCGACCTGGTATCACTATGGTTATGTCCCTTATTCTTGCGGGAAATAATTACCTATCAATTCGGATTTGTCACCTTTAACGACTTAACTTCAATACGCTGTATGAGTCGGCCTAGCTATGGATCAACACACTCTAGACTTGATTTAGTACGCTATGCTAAATTTCGTGAAAATCAAAAGACTTTGGTGAAGCTATATCTAAATCTGAACCGAGTTTTCCCAATTTCAATAGGGTTCGTCCTTGGGCCAAATAAATGAGCTGTGCCAAATTTTTACAATTTAACATGGATAGACGGCCAGACATGCATAAATCGACATAAAGCGTGATTCTATGCATATTCTCAAAAGGAACCATCGTCTATATCGTTTCCTTTTGCATGTTACAAATATATGCCCAAAGATATAATACCCTGTACCACAGTGTGTTGAAGGGTATAAAAATTTCACGCCTATTTTAGATCATAGAAAAATATTTTTTATTATTATATCTAAATCTGAACCGATTTGCACGAAACTTAGCACAACTCCCCGGAGTTGTGCTAAGTATCCCCGGATACTTAATTATAAAAACTAGTACCAAAAACATATAATAAATTAGTATTAGTTAAACATTTTTACAGTTTTGTAAAAAAATGTCGCATTCGCCGAATGTGCCCCTACCCGGTATAGCTTCGGCATTTGAAGGGGCACATTCGAAACGATAGTTATGGCCCTGTCATTCGGCACCATAGACACCGCTCTCAGTGTGGTTGAAATTCAGGTCCTCTAAATGTTCCATTTTTCTTTAATATGCGACTCAAAGTTGGATTTTTAATGCTATATTTTCTAGCGGCGGACTTTGACATCTCAAGGCCACACACAACATCAGAAGTAGTTTTTTTCTATCGCATTTTCGTCAATACAAGAAGTTTTGGTCTTATATATGTAATTTCGAACCATATTAAAGGATTATTTTTCAAGACAAACTCAAAAACATTTTAAGGGAATAATATCGCACTATCTGTATATGGCCGAATGTGCCCCACATCAAAATACCGCATCTATCCTGAAGGTATTTTTTATATTTTTTTCATTTATGTCTATCAATCTTCTAAAAACGTTATATTTTTAATTATTTTTAAAAGAATGCACATTGTAATTAACTATTTTGTAATAATACTGCCTTAAGAATTTAGAAGTATTATACCCGAAACACTTACGAAATGGAATGGAAATATTACAAAAACATATGTAAAAATACAAAAAACCATGCATCTAAATAAGTATATTAGCTTGAGATTTCAAACTTTGCAACAGTTATTTATTTTGGTATTCGATACCTATGTATCAAAGCTAGTGATGTCCGGTTCATATCGAAAACGCGATTGCCGAATGTGCCCCGATGCCGAAAGTGTCCCAGTCTCCCCTAATTGCAATTACTGTTGTTACTACAAAAATGTCTAAAAGACTGCTGGCGAACAAATTTTAATTTACCATTTCCCATCAAACTTTTTTCCCGCATTCAAATAACATTAATCACGAAAAACTCACTTTGCCCTTTTTCCAATGAAAAAGGGAATTCTTGTACTTACTTGTTTTGTTGTTCCTTTTCATTGGCTTTTGCAATTATTGAATTCCATTTGGCGATTATGTGTGGATGAGTGGCTGCGATCTCCTTATAGCTGCCGGATGCCTGAAGACAACCATCTTTCAATACAATTAACTGCAAAAGAGATGACGACAAATAACAAAAAGGCAAAAAACAACAACAGCAAGGCAAAGAGAGCGATTCAATATTTCAAAAAATTTACTCGTATTCCAACATCCGCCAAAGCAGATGAAAGAAGGAGATGATGGAAAAAATGTCATTGAAATGAAAAGGTTCGGAAACAGGGCATTACAAGTGTTTATGAATTGGATAGTCAGCAGTAGAGGACAAGCAATGCAATAAATTAAATTCATATTTCCAGGAAAAGTCAAGAGATGCTGAAATTTTCACATAATGGACAAACAAAATTTCTAATAAAAAATAGAAAATTCGAATCAATGAACATTTTCTAATAGGAAATAGATAAAATGGTATCTGACAAGGGTTTGGGTGAGAGGATGTTGACATTTGGCAAACATTTCAAAAAAGAACGACAAGAACACAAAAAAATTGCAAATGTCATTTTTGTTTGATTAATTTACCAATAACTGTCACTCACACCTTAAGGCCATTGGCAATGACGATGATGATGTTTTCATAATGTCTCTGTTTCCAAATCCAAAGCTAACAGAAATGTCATAAAATACAATTTTTGCGGGGCGAAGTGGGGATGCCTTTTTCGAATGGATTTTCAGTTTGGCTATAGGGTTACTTACATTGTGCGCCTGTTGTACCAGATTTAATTGTTGTGTCACCAAAATGACAGTGCGATTGGCTTTCAGCAGCATCTTCTTAATGCTCTGTTCGAAAATGTGACGGGCCACTTCATTGTCCAGCGATGATAAGGGATCATCCTTGAAATGAGAAAGGAAAACAGACATGGTTAAATGAAAGAACGAAATATTAATAGTTGAACAAAGAGAAGAATTACGCCGAGCAGAAATATTATGACAAATGACATCAGTTTAACTCGGAGCATCATGACCAAGCACACCATACACTTTCTCCCATACAATTCCAAATATTTTTCGATTGATATCAAATTATTAAAAAAAATATGAAAATTTTGGTTGTTATTCCTTACCATTATCACCACATTGGCCGATGAATACAAGGCTCTGGCAATTGCCACACGTTGCCTTTGGCCACCCGACAAATTAATGCCTCTCTCGCCGATAACAGTTAAATCTCCCGCTGGCATCAAATCTATGTCCGGCTTTAGAGCACAGGCATCCAACACAAAGTCATAACGTTTCGGTCGAAATGATTCGCCAAATAGAATATTTTCACGTATACTGGCATTCAGCAGCCATGGTTGTTGCGGTACAAAGGCAATTGTTGATGACCTGCAATAGGGGGGAAAATAATACATAAAGAAGTGGCATAAATAAAAATCTATTGCAAAAAAACATTTGTTTATAACATCAAATATACAAGGGTTTCGAGTTAATCTATATATATAACCAGTAAGGAAAGTAGTAAAGTCGGACTGGGCCGACTATATGATACCCTTCACCACTTTGGGTATATTTTACATATGTATCCTAACAGACGACGCGTTTTGTTATAAATCTATATCTGAATAAATTTCAGGGAAAATTGCCAGAGACTAATTTATATAAGATCATCACGTTGTGTCAATCGGCCAAGCTATGGATCTTTTCACGAAGCTTAGCAACATCATTCTACACTTAATTCAGTACCCTATACCAAAATTCGTGCAAATCGAAAGATATATAGGGTCTTTGGGAGCTATATCTAAACCTGAACCGATTTTCGCGAAACTTTGCACACATCATTCGTGACCTTATTCATTACGCTGTGCCAAATTTCGTGCAAATCGAAATATATAGGGACTTTGGTGCACCATTTACCTTAAATCGGACGAAAATATATATGGGAGCTATATCTAAATCTGATTCGATTTTTCCCAATTTCAATAGGGTTCATCCTTGGGCGAAATAAGTTAACTGTGCCAAATTTTATCCAATTCGGATCATAAATGCGACCTGTACTTTGTTTACAATTTAACATGGACAGACGGACGGACGGACGGGCATGCATAAATCGACTTAGAAAGTGATTCTATGCATATTCTCAAAAGGAACCATGGGTCTATCTCGATTATTTTTGCCTGTTACAAACATATGCACAAAGACATAATACCCTGTACCACAGTGTGGAGAAGGGTATAAAAATGGAGTATAAAATGTATAGTAACTCATCAATTATGAGCAGCTGGACCGATTTTACTCAAAATGGGTTTCAATTGTCGGTAACTGCAGTGGGAAGGTTTTTATGAAATAAATTACTTTCAGTTGTCTGTTATTAAAGTGGAATGTTTTTAAAGAAGGAACATTTCGAGAAAAATCCGCGAAAATGTTGCAAAATATATGTTTAAGGATATTTGGATTTCCACACATTTTTTTTTTTTTTTTTTTTTTTTGAAGTTTTATGATTTCATAACTTCGTAGTTCTTTTTTAGTCGAAAATTGTCAGCGTATAAGAAATGGTCAATTATGGAAAATTCTCAAAATATGTTCATCACATATAAATTTGTATTTTATAGAGAAAAAAATTAATAATATGAAACCTGGCGGAAGGCCAGGAAAACCTATCCAAATAAGTGGAAAACCAACTGAATCTGATATTTTCAGGAGAAAACGAAACTTCTGATACACATGTTGGGCAAGAACCTTGAACATATTGAATATGAAGCGTGATGGTTAAAAAAGAGGTACAAAATTATTGAAGTCCTGAATAGTGCATGTTACCATAATATAGGAGTTATGCCAAAACGGAGTTCGATATTAATAATTGTTGGTAGGGTTAAAAAACATAACATTACAGTAATTTACGAGGACGAGGTATACAATGCAGTGATCGATTAAAACAGAGCGTCTGGAAAACTAATAAAAGAAACCCATAGAAGATCCTTCGCGGTCACATGGCTATCAGGCAGTCCGTCGATGTCCTCTCATCAGGACTAATCGGAAAGATACAATATCCGATCACTTCTGTACAAAGTTGTGAATATTAAATTGCACCCTGATCATAATCTTATTAAAAATTACCAAAACCCAACCAACTTAATAAATACCATGTCGCCTGAGACGTCAACGTCCGCTGTTGGAAAATATAGCTTTAAAACAAAATAGAACCTGTAAAGGATGTGAATTTCAACCAGACTGATAGCGGTGATAATTACCAGACTAGTCATAGTGCCGAATGTGCCCCATAAAATGCCGAAGCTATCCCGGGTAGGGGCACATTCGGCAAATTTTACTTTTTTTAAAAAACTGTAAAAAATGTTAACAAATACTAATTTATTATATATTTTTGGTACTAGTTTTTATATTTAGGTATTTGGTATTTTGATTGGCTGTACCAAAACTCTTAATTTGATCTCTGTTTTATTATAGCCCCATATAACGGCAGCACCATTATCAGATATTTTGAGAATTTTAATCATCTTTGTCTCACGTATTTTTCGATAAGTTCGAGGTCCTATCATAAAATGAGTTTTTTCTAGGTTCCCTCATTAATTAAATAATCCCTCGTATGCATATCAGAATGAGGAGTTAACCTATAAACTCAATCTTCAAAATTGATCTAAGATAAAAAAAAATCCTGAAGTTTTTATAATTTGGTTGGCAAGGTTCCAGATAGTTAACATTCTACCATTAAAACAGGTTTGGGAATTTAGATCCGGAATATAAGATATAGATTGTCAATTAACACTTGTTCTGACGAACCCACTATAGGCCACAGATCCAATTTATTGGGATTACAAAATAAATATCACATATAAGGGTTTCGGGGATGCTGATTACGATTCTGTAAGAAAAAGTTAAATTTTGAAAATCAAATAAGATGATACAAAATGGCGGATCAACCAAAAAAATAAAATTTCATTTCTTAGCAGTTTCTTAGCATGAAATCACTAGTTTATGTAATATGGGTATAAAACTAATTAAACTAATTAATTAATTAAAATTAAAATATAGCCAATTTGGTTTAAAAACTTGGCCAAAATCACCAATACACCGAATAATGTATGGTCCGATTATATGGCGTTTACCCGAAACATATGCCAATATTGATTATTTTCACACCCAATGAGAATTCAAAATACTAAATTACAGGTAATTTAGTTGAAAAACACGCACAATATCCCCCCATAAAACAAAATAAGGGTGGTACAGTTATGTAGGGCTTACCCCAAAAAGTTGACCAGAATTGATAATTTTTGGTAAGAATAAGAATAGAGATTATGTCGAATTTATAACTCTGGAATTACTGAAGTATATAAAAAAAGGGAATAATTTTGGGTTAATTGATCTGTCGTTGCAAACTGTTCATGATATTGACCTCCAAAGTTTATTTTGGTGGAAGCTGTGTCTACTTTCATGTAAAAAAATGTGTAAAAACAGGTTGAGGCAAATCAGTTTTTTATGTCCTCTATCGATTTGTGATTAAACCACTCATTTCACTGTCTTCGTGTCAAAGAAAAACTAGAAGCCAACAAAATAGGGACTACGCCCCTTATGTATCATTTACAAAATTTTAACTGCATCTACCTTTAAATGATGCTGACATTTTGAAGCTCGATTTTTAGTGTTATTTGAATTTTACTTCTAGCTTTAATACGCAAACAGGAATTTCTAAAAATCGATTATAAGATTATTGTAGTCGCGAGTCTTTGTATAATTTAATATGTATTTTGTGTATTATAAATCTTCTTCGTGAAAATCCATCTACTAGGACGGCGGGAACTGGCCTTCCAAAAACACGAAATTTGGCACAAAATGTTTTTGAAAATATCGCGGATTTATTTGCGTTTTCTGTGGATCGCTTCAATAAGTGACCTCATACGGATTTTGATCTTTTTCGAAAAGAGATCTTTAAAAACTTCAGCCGAAAGAGAGATGTACCCAAACTATCTCAAAAATAGTGTGAGCTGGCACATCCATGGTTTTTAATGGACCACATTGAAATTGGTATAGATCGATGAATTTTTTTAGGGTGCACACCGAAATCGGATGCGCGTTAATGGCATATGGAGTTTTCGGAAATTATTCACGTTTTACGTTTTTTTGGGTACTTCAATTCAACGTGTGGCACATCTTAGCCGTCTAATGAAATTTCGCAAAATATATATGGATTGGAAGATAAACTTCAGTACTTCCATGAAACCGCATGCGCATCAAATGATTTTGAGAATTACGCGATTTAGACGCAATTTAAAATGTATATTTTATAATATTATTTTTTTAAGATTTTTTCCTATTTATAGAACCCTAAGATTTATCGGAAGGGTCTTGATATAATCCGCAAGGCGTATACTTATACACAAAAAGTGATTATTATTATTATTATATATGTACATTTTTCGGCGAAATTCGGGTCAAATAGCAGAATAACCCCAACATTTTTTTCTGAAATTTCTTGTATAAAATTAAAAAATAAATATGATGACATTATTTTTTCGAACCAAAAACAAATATTTTTCCTCAATATCTTGTTTTGTTGTCGCTGTGATTTACAAACCGCTTCACGGACTTGTGTGAAGCGGTTTGCGGTTTTTAAATTAATTTTTAGGTGTGTGTATGTCATTAATATAATGAAAATATTGAAGTAATCGGCTATATTTTTTGGTGTGGTCCTGCATATAACGGTAATTTGGTATTTTGTATTTTAATTGGCTGTCAAATCTCAATATTGATCTCCCCATATAACGGTAGCACCACTATTCGATATTTTGAGAATTTAAATCATCTTTTTCTCACGTATTTTTCGATATGTTCGAGGTCCTATCATAACATGAGTTGTTTTTCTAGGTGCCCTCATTAATTTTAATTAAATAAGCCCTCGTATGAATGGCAGAATGAGGAGTTAAACTATAAACTCAATCTTCATAATTTATGTAAGTTAAAAAAAACAAATCTTGAAGTTTTTATAATTTTGTTGGCAAGGTTCCAGATAGTTAACATTCTACCATTAAAACAGGTTTGGGAATTTAGATCCGGAATATAAGATATAGACTGTCAATTTACACCTGTTCTGACGATCCCACTATGGGCCAGAGATCCAAATTATTGGGATTACAAAATAAATATCACATATAAGGGTTTCGGGGATGCTGATTACGATTCTGTAAGAAAAAGTTAAATTTTGAAAATCAAATAAGATGATACAAAATGGCGGATCAACCAAAAAATAAAATTTCATTTCTTAGCAGTTTCTTAGCATGAAATCGCTGGTTTATGTATTATGAGTATAAAACTAATTAAACTAATTAATTAATTAAAATTAAAATATAGCCAATTTGGTTTAAAAACTTGAC